TTTAGGGTTTAGGTTTTAGGGGTTGAGGGTTTAGGGTTTAGGGTTTAGGTTTTAGGGGTTGAGGGTTTAGGGTTTAGGGGTTTAGGGTTTAGGGGTTTAGGGTTTAGGGGTTGAGGGTTTAGGGCTTTGAAGTCAATAAAAGCACACACTACTGTTGATGATATAAATTTTGCATTACCCGTAATAAGGAACACTGTATACCATAATTCCCATTGTTTAGGGTCCTTGAGGTAATGCAGGATTTATATCATCAACACTAAGGGTCCTTCACCTGAGGAGCACTCGGAGGGTTCTTTTTGGGTTTCAGGGCTTTAGGGTTTTAGGGCTAGGGTTTAAGGGTTTAGGGTTTTAGAGTTTAGGGCTCTTAGGATTAGGGTTTTAGGGTTTACTGGTGTAGGGTGTCGGGGTCCTTTTTGACCTTAGACTGTTGCCTTGCATGGCAGGAGCGAGAGCATCAGGGTGCGGCAGTGCATGACGTCAGGCCGGCCGGGAACTGCTTGGATGGGTTCGGAGCAACCCTCAGCCCAGAAACGGCCTTTGACGTTTGAAACCCCTAAACCCTTAAACCCTACAACCCTAAAGCCTACAACCTAAAGGCCTTAAACCGCTAAACCCTTAAACCCAAAGCCCTGAAACCCTTAAACCTCATTTCTGCAAGGACGGCGAGAAGTGGAGTGTTGCGGTCCGTGCGGCTCGGCGCGCTAGAGACTCAGTCGGACCGCTGAGGTTTAGGGTTTAGGACTTCAGGGTTTAGGGGTTAAGGGTTTAGGGTTTAGGGGTTTAGCGTTTAGGGTTTAAAAGCACACAATGCGGTTGATGGTATAAATTTTGCATTTCCTTACAATAAGGAATAGATCATACTTCCAATAGTTTAGAGTCCTCAAGGTAATGCAGGATTTGTATCATCAGCAGTAGCAACACTATTAACTGCAGTTTTCTATAGGGAAACAATAACAAGAATGATGATCACAACATCACAACACTAATCAGAGCAATAATAGAAGACTATTTCACAATAGCAATAGCACTAATACACATACTATATAATACTTCTAGAAATAGTGGTGGCAATACAAAAGATACAAATTATAGGAAGTATCGTAGCAACGGCGGTCGTAACACCAAACCCTGAACCCTAAATCCTAAACCCTAAACCCTAAACCCCAGCAGAGTCTAAAGCATCTCTTCTGCTCCCCCGAGGCAGCCGGAGACCGAGGAGTGCAGCTTCGAGGATCCGGCTTAGGGTTTTAGGGTTTAGGGTTTAGGGTTTAGGGTTTGGGGGTTTAGGGTTTAGGGGTTCAGGGTTTGGGGCTTAGGGTTTAGGGTTTAGGGGGTTTCAGGTTTAGGGTTTAGACTTTAGGGCACTTGGGCCTACAAGTCTCCACCCTCAAATCGACCTGCCACGCAAGAAACCCTAAACCCTAC